GACGGAAAAGAGAAGCGGGGATATAGAAAATGAGAATAAATAGGATTAAAGAATAGTTAATAGAGAATAACAGAAACACAGTGATAAAAAAAGAATAATTTTTAATACGATAAAAAAACAAGAGATTACCGATAAGGGAGAGAGAGAAAAAAATATATATGTGACCTGCGTATGGTATCTGGAAGGGTCGCCGGGGTGAGTGTGTAATGCGCGGGAACTCCATCCCGGAACTATTGAGAATTTTTACCTCTTACGCTTATACTATGGAGGAATTATGGGATACGAGATGTGGTCGAAGTTATCGTCTCACAGAAAAGGGATTAGGGAGGGAAGTTACTTAGAAAGATGAAAGAAAAATGGAGTTTTAAGAAAGGGGTTTTAATTACGGAGGTTAATATTTTTTTCATTGATCAGGGGAAATGATAATCTTTATTCTTTTCAATATTTATAAGTTAAATTTAACAAAAATATCAATAGGTTATGTAAATATTTCTTCGCATACATTATTTTATTTCAGTATTTAACCTTCGCATTAGCATGTTTATGTGACCACGAGGGATGGAAACGAGCGTAAATTGTCATAGGAGTTCCGATTGTTTTACAAGCCTCTCGTATAATTAGTGTTTGAGAATTCCATTATTGGTTAAGTGTTTCTTATATCCAAATATCACATTGCCATTATTCGTTATTCATTACTAATGATTGCTATATACGATTTTGCTTGTAATCAGTCCTTAACATTATTTTTTTCTTATTTTTCTTCTTATCATTTTAATATCATTATATCGATTCAACTCGTGTAGTTATATACGACTTGTGAGAAACCTTAAAGCTTAAGTCGCTTTCCTATGTTCGTGTAAGCCTTTGCATTCCTGAATTTTCGAAGTGGGAGCGCCAGGTAGTCCGTGACGTCACTTCAAATGACATCATCCTTGAACTGAAGTCGTGACGTCATTCCATCATAGCAATTATGCAGACAATGCTATTTGTTCCCAGAGACAATGCCTCTGATGAGGGAATGTAAACAATGACTATATTTATGATATTGTTTGAGCAAATGCGCTTGTGGTAATAATTTGTAGCTGCTGTGGCAAGAGAGTGGTTGGGAAGACTGATCGATGTGTTATGAACTGGAAAGACAAGAAAGAAAGAGAAAAAAAAATCGAACAGGAAGAAATCAGAAGAAAACAAACTCAAGCATGAGTCACCCAGCACACAGCCAGTCATGTCAAAAGTATTTGTTTCATCAAAATGGTTATTGTAAGCTCCTTCGTCCTTCCAATGAGCCAAGCCACACTACGTGACCTTGCCTGGACGCCGAAGCATGACGGAGGCGGAGGAGGAGCCTATCCCCAGCACAAGGTTACAAGGTCAAGGCAAGGATGGACTCGACGATGCCACGTAGTGTTATCTGGAGAGATTCCTTCAGTGAAGAAGAAAATAAAAACTATTATGCTCAATATCCCGAAGGCTGTCCTTTACCACAGAAGACAAGGAACGATATTTGTGTTGGAGATGACCGTCAATTTCGAAGGACGTGGTTTATTCTGTTCTGCGCGTCATGGCGGGGTAAATAAATCGTAGAAGGGAGAAATTGCATGAATTAGTGCACCGAGGGTTGTAACGTGTGATTACAGTGTTTTGGAACAGCTCCAACTTTGATATTTTTTTCTTGCAATGCTTCTCTCAGTGCTACATTTAGTCCAATACACGAGGCGCGTACATCCTATGTAATGTAAAAAAGTGTTTAGTTTGATGTTTGTCTGTGTAAAGAAAGTGTAAAGAACATTGATTGCACATTTTATTTATATATGTAAACAAATAAGTTTCTGTTTGAAGTAACAGCGACGTCAATGTGGAATGATAGAAAATCGCGTTACGGGAAGACAAAAGAATTCATAAACGATGATACCTGGCAACGCTGGTCATTGAGGAAACGCTTTTAGAATTAAATGTTCAGATCACTAACAATACCATGCACACACACACACACACACACACACACACACACACACACACACACACACACACACACACACACACACACACACACACACACACACACACACACACACACACGAGACAAAGACATTGACGTGAATCTCAATTGCATGTCCTTCAGTCTTGGCTATGCAAAATTCTCAAGGCTGGAAACATTGCAAAATCAAATTAGATATTTAGCCTTAAAGGAAATGACCCAACTGAAATGAGGGGAGAACGTAATGAGAGTATAAGTGTGTAAAATCGCGGACCAAAGTCATGTTATAAATAAAGTTTGAAACACTCCATCCGAAACAATTTACTTTGATGTTCGAAACAGAATTCGAACGACATTTGTCAAGAGTTTTTGGGCGTGATTATACAACTATAAAATCCGCTCCACTTCCAGCTTGACAGCTCTTGTATCCGAATGTACCCCGGCTATCGGCAGTTCACGACAGGCCGAGTATATGTGAACAGAGGAGCGTATTTGTACAATACCGGATCTTGATTTCTGTGT